CAAGAACAAGGGCCTATCGTGTGCAAAATTGCAAGAACAAGGGCTTAGCGAGTGCAAAATAGCAAGAGCAAGGGCCTAGCGTGTGCACAAAATCAAGAACAAGGGCCTAGCGTTCGCGAAATAGCAAGAACAAGGGCCTAGCGTGTGCAAAATAAGAAGAACAGGGAAATAGCATGTACAAAATAGCAAGAACAAGGGCCTAGCGTGTGCAAAATAAAAAGAACAAGGGCCTAGCGTGTGCAAAATAAAAGGAACAAGGGCCTAGCGTGTGCAAAATTGCAAGAACAAGGGCCTACCGTGTGCAAAATTGCAAGAACAAGGGCCTAGCGAGTGCAAAATAGCAAGAGCAAGGGCCTAGCGCGTGCACAAAATCAAGAACAAGGGCCTAGCGTTCGCAAAATAGCAAGAACAAGGGCCTAGCGTGTGCAAAAAAAAAAGAACAAGGGTCTAGTATGTGCAAAATTGCAAGAACAAGGGCCTAGCGTGTGCAAAATAAAAAGAACAAGGGCCTAGCGTGTGCAAAATAAAAAGAACAAGGGCCTAGCGTGTGCAAAATTGCAAGAACAAGGGCCTAGCGTGTGCAAAATTGCAAGAACAAGGGCCTAGCGAGTGCAAAATAGCAAGAACAAGGGCCTAGCGTGTGCACAATTGCAAGAACAAGGGCCTAGCGTTCGCGAAATAGCAAGAACAAGGGCCTAGCGTGTGCAAAATAAAAAGAACAAGGGTCTAGCATGTGCAAAATTGCAAGAACAAGGGCCTAGCGTGTGCAAAATAAAAAGAACAAGGGCATAGCGTGTGCAAAATAGCAAGAACAAGGGCCTAGCGTGTGGAAAATAAAAAGAACAAGGGCCTAGCGTGTGCAAAATAAAAAGAACAAGGAACTAGCGTGTGCAAAATTGCAAGAACAAGGGCCTAGCGTGTGCAAAATTGCAAGAACAAGGGCGTAGCGGGTGCAAAATAGCAAGAGCAAAAGCCTAGCGTGTGCACAAAATCAAGAACAAGGGCCTAGCGTTCGCGAAATAGCAAGAACAAGGGCCTAGCTTGTGCAAAATAAAAAGAACAAGGGTCTAGTATGTGCAAAATTGCAAGAACAAGGGCCTAGCGTGTGCAAAATAAAAAGAACAGGGAAATAGGATGTACAAAATAGCAAGAACAAGGGCATAGCGTGTGCAAAATAAAAAGAACAAGGGCCTAGCGTGTGCAAAATAAGAACAACAAGGGCCTAGCGTGTGCAAAATTGCAAAAACAAGGGCCTAGTGAGTGCAAAATAGCAAGAGCAAGGGCCTAGCGTGTGCAAAAAAACAAGAACAAGGGCCTAGCGTTCACGAAATAGCAATAACAAGGGCCTAGCGTGTGCAAAATAAAAAGAACAAGGGTCTAGCATGTGCAAAATTGCAAGAACAAGGGCCTAGCGTGTGCAGAATAAAAAGAAAAAGGGCATAGCGTGTGCAAAATAGCAAGAAAAAGGGCCTAGCGTGTGGAAAATAAAAAGAACAAGGGCCTAGCGTGTGCAAAATAAAAAGAACAAGGAACTAGCGTGTGCAAAATTGCAAGAACAAGGGCCTAGTGTGTGCAAAATTGCAAGAACAACGGCGTAGCGAGTGCAAAATAGCAAGAGCAAGGGCCTAGCGTGTGCACAAAATCAAGATCAAGGGCCTAGCGTTCGCGAAATAGCAAGAACAAGGGCCTAGCGTGTGCAAAATAAAAAGAACAAGGGTCTAGTATGTGCAAAATTGCAAGAACAAGGGCCTAGCGTGTGCAAAATTGCAAGAACAAGGGCCTAGCGAGTGCAAAATAGCAAGAGCAAGGGCCTAGCGTGTGCACAAAATCAAGAACAAGGGCATAGCGTTCGCGAAATAGCAAGAACAAGGGCCTAGCGTGTGCAAAAAAAAAAAGAACTAGGGTCTAGTATGTGCAAAATAGCGAGAACAAGGGCCTAGCGTGTGCAAAATAAAAAGAACAAGGGCCTAGCGTGTGCAAAATAAAAAGAACAAGGGCCTAGCGTGTGCAAAATAAAAAGAACAAGGACCTAGCGTGTGCAAAATTGCAAGAACAAGGGCCTAGCGTGTGCAAAATTGCAAAAACAAGGGCCTAGCGAGTGCAAAATAGCAAGAGCAAGGGCCTAGCGTGTGCAAAAAATCAAGAACAAGGGCCTAGCGTGCGCGAAATAGCAAGAACAAGGGCCTAGCGTGTGCAAAATAAAAAGAACGAGGGTCTAGCATGTGCAAAATTGCAAGAACAAGGGCCTATTGTGTGCGAAATTGCAAGAACAAGGGCCTAGCGAGTGCAAAATAGCAAGAGCAAGGGCCTAGCGTGTGCACAAAATCAAGAACAAGGGCATAGCGTTCGCGAAATAGCAAGAACAAGGGCCTAGAGTGTGCAAAAAAAAAGGAACAAGGGTCTAGTATGTGCAAAATTGCAAGAACAAAGGCCTAGCGTGTGCAAAATAAAAAGAACAAGGGCCTAGCGTGTGCAAAATAAAAAGAACAAGGGCCTAGCGTGTGCAAATTTGCAAGAACAAGGGTCTAGTGTGTGCAAAATTGCAAGAACAAGGGCCTAGCGAGTGCAAAATAGCAAGAGCAAGGGCCTAGCGTGTGCACAAAATCAAGAACAAGGGCCTAGCGTTCGCGAAATAGCAAGAACAAGGGCCTAGCGTGTGCAAAATAAAAAGAACAAGGGTCTAGCATGTGCAAAATTGCAAGAACAAGGGCCTAGCGTGTGCAAAATAGCAAGAACAAGGGCCTAGCGTGTGGAAAATAAAAAGAACAAGGGCCTAGCGTGTGCAAAATAACAAAGAACAAGGGCCTAGCGTGTGCAAAATAGCAAGAACAAGGGCATAGCGTGTGCAAAATAAAAAGAACAAGGGCCTAGCGTGTGCAAAATAAAAAGAACACGGGCCTAGCGTGTGCAAAATTGCAAGTACAAGGGCCTAGTGAGTGCAAAATAGCAAGAGCAAGGGCCTAGCGTGTGCAAAAAAACAAGAACAAGGGCCTAGCGTTCACGAAATAGCAAGAACAAGGGCCTAGCGTGTGCAAAATAAAAAGAACAAGGGTCTAGCATGTGCAAAATTGCAAGAACAAGGGCCTAGTGTGTGCAAAATAAAAAGAACAAGGGCATAGCGTGTGCAAAATAGCAAGAACAAGGGCCTAGCGTGTAGAAAATAAAAAGAACAAGGGCCTAGCGTGTGCAAAATAAAATGAACAAGGAACTAGCGTGTGCGAAATTGCAAGAACAAGGGCCTAGCGTGTGCAAAATTGCAAGAACAAGGGCGTAGCGAGTGCAAAATAGCAAGAGCAAGGGCCTAGCGTGTGCACAAAATCAAGAACAAGGGCCTAGCGTTCGCGAAATAGCAAGAACAAGGGCCTATCGTGTGCAAAATAAAAAGAACAAGGGTCTAGTATGTGCAAAATTGCAAGAACAAGGGCCTAGCGTGTGCAAAATAAAAAGAACAGGGAAATAGCATGTACAAAATAGCAAGAACAAGGGCCTAGCGTGTGCAAAATAAAAAGAACAAGGGCCTAGCGTGTGCAAAATAAAAAGAACAAGGGCCTAGCGTGTGCAAAATTGCAAGAACAAGGGCCTAGCGTGTGCAAAATTGCAAGAACAAGGGCCTAGCGAGTGCAAAATAGCAAGAGCAAGGGCCTAGCGTGTGCACAAAATCAAGAACAAGGGCCTAGCGTTCGCGAAATAGCAAGAACAAGGGCCTAGCGTGTGCAAAAAAAAAAAGAACAAGGGTCTAGTATGTGCAAAATTGCAAGAACAAGGGCCTAGCGTGTGCAAAATAAAAAGAACAAGGGCCTAGCGTGTGCAAAATAAAAAGAACAAGGGCCTAGTGTGTGCAAAATTGCAAGAACAAGGGCCTAGCGTGTGCAAAATTGCAAGAACAAGGGCCTAGCGTGTGCAAAATAGCAAGAGCAAGGGCCTAGCGTGTGCACAAAATCAAGAACAAGGGCCTAGCGTTCGCGAAATAGCAAGAACAAGGGCCTAGCGTGTGCAAAATAAAAAGAACAAGGGCCTAGCATGTGCAAAATTGCAAGAACAAGGGCCTAGCGTGTGCAAAATAAAAAGAACAAGGGCATAGCGTGTGCAAAATAGCAAGAACAAGGGCCTAGCGTGTGGAAAATAAAAAGAACAAGGGCCTAGCGTGTGCAAAATAAAAAGAACAAGGGCCTAGCGTGTGCAAAATAGCAAGAACAAGGGCATAGCGTGTGCAAAATAGCAAGAACAAGGGCCTAGCATGTGGAAAATAATAAGAACAAGGGCCTAGCGTGTGCAAAATAAAAAGAACAAGGGCCTAGTGTGTGCAAAATAGCAAGAACAAGGGCATAGCGTGTGCAAAAAAAAAAGAACAAGGGCCTAGCGTGTGCAAAATAAAAAGAACAAGGGCCTAGCGTGTGCAAAATTGCAAGAACAAGGGCCTAGCGTGTGCAAAATTGCAAGAACAAGGGCCTAGCGAGTGCAAAATAGCAAGAGCAAGGGCCTAGCGTGTGCAAAAAATCAAGAACAAGGGCCTAGCGTGCGCGAAATAGCAAGAACAAGGGCCTAGCGTGTGCAAATAAAAAAGAACGAGGGTCTAGCATGTGCAAAATTGCAAGAACAAGGGCCTAGCGTGTGCAAAATTGCAAGAACAAGGGCCTAGCGTGTGCAAAGAACAAGACTCGACGTTAACGTCGGAAGGGTTGCGTAGATGTTACATTCTTAGTTGACAAAAACAAATTGCGGTTTTTTAAATCGTCAAATCTAGGTCTACCGTTCAAGGAATATGGCAAGCTTTTTTATGGTTCAATCTATTCATTTCAATGTGGATGTTTATGATTCTTAACAATTGACGTTTCTAATATGTTAAGATCTAGACACATCGATCGTTTTTTGTTTTGTATAGTGAACAATGATCTCTTTCCTCAAAGATAATACTTTGTATTGTAACATTGCACTATTTTGTGTGGTTCATAGTGAGTTGTTTTCAGCCCACTCAGTGTCACGTGATTGTGCGTGTGTTTTCACGTGACAAACCCACCCACCTCTTGCCTCTTTCTCCCACCACCCACCTCGTCATAATCTCTACCTCCACCCCGCCATCCTTTCTTTCCCACCACGCCGTCCTCTCTCCCTTCCACCCGCCGTCGCCTCTCCTTCCTACCCGCCGTCGCCTCTCCCTCCTCCTCACCGTCGCCTCTCCCTCCTCCCCTCCGTCGCCTCTCCCTCCTCCCCGCCGTCGCCTTTCCCTCCTCCCCGCCGTTGCGTATCCCTCCTCCCCGCCGTCGCGTATCCCTCCTCCCCGCCGTCGCCTCTCCCTCCTCCCCGCCGTCGCGTTTCCCTCCTCCCCGCCGTCGCCTCTCCCTCCTCCCCGCCGTCGCCTCTCCCTCCTCCCCGCCGTCGCCTCTCCCTCCTCCCCGCCGCCGCCTCTCCCTCCTCCCCGCCCCCGCCTCTCCCTCCTCCCCGCCGTCGCCTCTCCCTCCTCCTCGCCATCGCCTCTCCTTCCCTCCCGCCGTCGCCTCCGGCGACAGGTGCACGAGCGCAAGCGAGACTTGGTGTGCGAGTGCGGGTTGGTGTGCGAGCGCGGGCTGGTGCATGATTGCGGGTTGGTGCGCGAGCGCGGGTGGGTGCGCGAGCGCGGGTTGGTGCGCGAGCGCGGGCTGGTGCTCGAGCGCGGGTTGGTGCGCCAGCGCGGGTTGTTTTCTGAGGCACCGTTGTTATCAGGTGCGTTCCCGGTCCTTTCATCCACCCTTCCGCCTCTGATATTTCCTGACTTAATTTTTGCTTCTTTGTAAATTTTGTGTGTCATTGGTCTCCTCTTGCATTGCACTTTCATTTGAAGAAGGGGAGAGACGAAGAGCGAGGGAGAGCGTGTGCAAGGGAGCGAACGCGCAGGAGAGTGCGCGTGAGAGAGCGCGTGAGAGTGCGCGTGAGAGAGCGAGTGAGATTGCGCGTGAGAGAGCGCGTGAGTGCGCGTGAGAGAGTGGGGAGAGAGCGCGTGAGAGAGTGCGTGAGTGTGCGCGTGAGAGAGCGCGTGAGTGTGCGCGTAAGAGTGCGCGTGAGTGTGTGCGTGAGAGTGCACATGAGTGTGCGCGAAAGAGTGCGCGTGAGTGTGTGCGTGAGAGTGCACATGAGTGTGCGCGTAAGAGTGCGCGTGAGTGTGTGCGTGAGAGTGCACATGAGTGTGCGCGTGAGAGTGCGCATGAGAGAGCGCGTGAGATAGCGCGTGAGAGAGCGCGTGAGAGAGCGCGTGAGAGAGCGCGTGAGATAGCGCGTGAGAGAGCGCGTGAGAGAGCGCGTGAGGGAGCACGTGAGAGTGCGCGTGAGAGAGCACGTGAGAGTGCGCATGAGAGAGCGCGTGAGGGGGCGCATGAGAGAGCACGCGAGGGGGCGCGTGAGAGAGCGCGTGAGGGAGCGCGTGCGCAAGTGCATGAGAGAGCGCGTGAGAGAGCGCATGAGAGTGCGCGTGAGAGTGCGCGTTAGGGAGTGTGAAAGATCGTGTGAGAGAGCGTGTGAGGGAGCGTGTGAGAGTGCGTATGAGGGTGCGCGTGAGAGAGCTCGTTAGAGAGAACGTGAGAGAGCGCGTGAGGGTGCGCGTGAGAGTGCGCGTGAGAGAGCGCGTGAAGGGGCATGTGAGTGTGCGCATGAGTGTGCGCGTGAGAGAGCGCGTGAGAGAGCACACGAGAGTGCGTGTGAGAGCGGGTGTGAGAGAGCGCAGGAGAGAGCGTGTGCTAGAACGCGTGAGAGAGCGCGTGAGTGTGTGCGTGAGAGTGCGCGTGAGTGTGCGCGTGAGAGTGCGCGTGAGAGTGCGTGAGAGGGCGCGTGAGAGTGCACGTGGGAGACGCGTGAGAGACTTGTGAGGGTGCGCGTTAGAGAGCACGTGAGGGTGCACGTGAGAGTGCGCGTGAGAGAGCGTGTGAGATTGCGCGTGAGAGTGCGCGAGAGGGAGCGCGTGAGAGTGAGTGTGAGAGTGCGTGTGAGAGTGCGTGTGAGAGTGTGCGTGAGAGGGCGCGTGAGAGAGCGTGTGAGGGTGCATGTGAGAGCGTGAGAGAGCATGTGAGAGAGCGTGTGAGAGAGCATGTGAGAATGCGCGTGAGAGTGCGCGTGAGAGAGCGCGTGAGAGAGCGCGTGAGAGTGCGTGTGAGAGAACGTGAGAGAGCGCGTGAGAGTGCTCGTGAGAGAGTGCGTGAGAGAGCGCGTGCGCAAGCGTGTGAGAGAGCGCGTGCGCAAGTGCGTGAGAGAGCGCACAAGAGTGCGCGTGAGAGAGCGCACGAGAGTGCGCGTGAGAGTGCATGTGGGAGACGCATGGGAGACTCGTGAGAGTGCATGTTAGAGAGCACGTGAGGGTGCGTGTGAGAGTGCGTGTGAGAGAGCGTGAGAGAGAGCATGTGAGAATGCGCGTGAGAGTGCGCGTGAGAGTGCGCGTGAGAGAGCGCGTGAGAGTGCGTGTGAGAGAGAACGTGAGAGAGAGCGTGAGTGAGAGTGCACGCGAGAGTGCGTGTGAGAGAGCACAAAAGAGTGCGCGCGTGAGAGTGCACGTGAGAGAGTGCGTGGGAGAGCGCGTGAGAGAGCACGTGCGCAAGCGCGTGAGAGGGCGCGTGGGCAAGTGCGTGAGAGAGCGCACAAGAGTGCGCATGAGAGTGCATGTGGGAGACGCATGGGAGACTTGTGAGAGTGCGCGTTAGAGAGCACGTGAGGGTGCGTGTGAGAGAGCGTGAGAGAGCGTGTGAGTGAGCGTGTGAGAATGCGCCTGAGAGTGCGCGTGAGAGAGAACGTGGGAGAGCACGTGAGGGTGCACGTGAGAGTGCGAATGAGAGAGCGCGAAAAAGTGCGTGTGAGAGTGCGCGTGAGAGAGTGCGTGAGAGAGCGCATGAGAAAGCGCCAGGATGAGAAGCTGTGCGCGCGAGGATGAGAGTGCGTGCCACTGTGTGTGCCAGAGTGAGTGCGAGAGCAAGTGCGAGTGTTATTGCAAGGGTGCGTGCGAGTGTGTTTGCATGCACATGTAAGTTTTTGTGTGAGTGTTATTGTGAATGAGAACGATCAAAAGTGCGAGGGTTTGTGCAACAATGAGCGTGTAGATTTAAATGTTTGTTTATGTGAGTGTCTAATAAAGTTGAGAGTATTTGTGCGTGTGTGATTGAGTGCAAATGTGATTGAGAAGCTGAACGCGAGGGTAGCTGCAAGGTATTGCATCATTCCGATGTAGTATCTGTGGTGCCACGACTTGTTCCAAATTAGCACCGTGAGTTGTGAAAGTCTAATTGCTGTCTTTTATTGATCTATGCGTTCTTCAACACCATTTTCTATTGTTCTTATTTCGTTTCTAGTGCATGCGTGAGCTGCGTTCTCTGTTTTTTGTTTCTTGTGCGTCAAGGAAACTGCACTCGCTGATTTTGATTTCTTGTGCAACTCATGCAAGTTTTCGTTTTTGTTTTGTGCAGGGAGTGAGTTCCTTGTTCAAGTCTTTTTATTTTGCACACGCTAGGCCCTTGTTCTTGCAATTTTGCACATACTAGACCCTTGTTCTTTTTTTTTTGCACACGCTAGGCCCTTGTTCTTGCTATTTCGCGAACGCTAGGCCCTTGTTCTTGATTTTGTGCACGCGCTAGGCCCTTGCTATTGCTATTTTGCACTCGCTAGGCCCTTGTTCTTGCAATTTTGCACACGCTAGGCCCTTGTTCTTGCAATTTTGCACACGCTAGGCCCTTGTTCTTTTTATTTTGCACACGCTAGGCCCTTGTTCTTTTTATTTTGCACACGCTAGGCCCTTGTTCTTGCTATTTTGTACATGCTATTTCCCTGTTCTTTTTATTTTGCACACGCTAGGCCCTTGTTCTTGCAATTTTGCACATACTAGACCCTTGTTCTTTTTATTTTGCACACGATAGGCCCTTGTTCTTGCTATTTCGCGAACGCTAGGCCCTTGTTCTTGATTTTGTGCACACGCTAGGCCCTTGCTCTTGCTATTTTGCACTCGCTACGCCCTTGTTCTTGCAATTTTGCACACGCTAGGCCCTTGTTCTTGCAATTTCGCAGACGCTAGTTCCTTGTTCATTTTATTTTGCACACGCTAGGCCCTTGTTATTTTTATTTTCTACACGCTAGGCCCTTGTTCTTGCTATTTTGCACACGCTATGCCCTTGTTCTTTTTATTTTGCACACACTAGGCCCTTGTTCTTGCAATTTTGCACATGCTAGACCCTTGTTCTTTTTATTTTGCACACGCTAGGCCCTTGTTCTTGCTATTTCGTGAACGCTAGGCCCTTGTTCTTGTTTTTTTGCACACGCTAGGCCCTTGCTCTTGCTCTTTTGCACTCACTAGGCCCTTGTACTTGCAATTTTGCACACGCTAGGCCCTTGTTCTTTTTATTTTGCACACGCTAGGCCCTTGTTCTTTTTATTTTGCACACGCTATGCCCTTGTTCTTGCTATTTTGCACACGCTAGGCCCTTGTTCTTTGTTATTTTGCACACGCTAGGCCCTTGTTCTTTTTATTTTCCACACGCTAGGCCCTTGTTCTTGCTATTTTGCACACGCTATGCCCTTGTTCTTTTTATTTTGCACACGCTAGGCCCTTGTTCTTGCAATTTTGCACATGCTAGACCCTTGTTCTTTTTATTTTGCACACGCTAGGCCCTTGTTCTTGCTATTTCGCGAACGCTAGGCCCTTGTTCTTGATTTTGTGCACACGCTAGGCCCTTGCTCTTGCTATTTTGCACTCGCTAGGCCCTTGTTCTTGCAATTTTGCACACACTAGACCCTTGTTCTTGCAATTTTGCACACGCTAGGCCCTTGTTCTTTTTATTTTGCACACGGTAGGCCCTTGTTCTTTTTATTTTGCACACGCTAGGCCTTTGTTCTTGCAATTTTGCACATACTAGACCCTTGTTCTTTTTTTTTTGCACACGCTAGGCCCTTGTTCTTGCTATTTCGCGAACGCTATGCCCTTGTTCTTGATTTTGTGCACACGCTAGGCCCTTGCTCTTGCTATTTTGCACTCGCTAGGCCCTTGTTCTTGCAATTTTGCACACAATAGGCCCTTGTTCTTGCAATTTTGCACATGCTAGACCCTCGTTCTTTTTATTTTGCACACGCTAGGCCCTTGTTCTTGCTATTTCGCGCACGCTAGGCCCTTGTTCTTGATTTTTTGCACACGCTAGGCCCTTGCTCTTGCTATTTTGCACTCGCTAGGCCCTTGTTCTTGCAATTTTGCACACGCTAGGCCCTTGTTCTTGCAATTTTGCACACGCTAGGCCCTTGTTCTTTTTATTTTGCACACGCTAGGCCCTTGTTCTTTTTATTTTGCACACGATAGGCCCTTGCTCTTTTGATTTTGCACACGCTAGGCCCTTGTTCTCGCTATTTTGCAGATACTAGACCCTTGTTCTTTTTTTTTTGCACACGCTAGGCCCTTGTTCTTGCTATTTCGCGAACGCTATGCCCTTGTTCTTGATTTTGTGCACACGCTAGGCCCTTGCTCTTGCTATTTTGCACTCGCTAGGCCCTTGTTCTTGCAATTTTGCACACGCTAGGCCCTTGTTCTTGCAATTTTGCACATACTAGACCCTTGTTCTTTTTATTTTGCACACGCTAGGCCCTTGTTCTTGCTATTTCGCGAACGCTAGGCCCTTGATCTTTATTTTGTGCACACGCTAGGCCCTTGCTCTTGCTATTTTGCACTCGCTACGCCCTTGTTCTTGCAATTTTGCACACACTAGGCCCTTGTTCTTGCAATTTTGCACACGCTAGTTCCTTGTTCTTTTTATTTTGCACACGCTAGGCCCTTGTTCTTTTTATTTTCCACACGCTAGGCCCTTGTTCTTGCTATTTTGCACACGCTATGCCCTTGTTCTTTTTATTATGCACCACTAGGCCCTTGTTCTTGCAATTTTGCACATGCTAGACCCTTGTTCTTTTTATTTTGCACACGCTAGGCCCTTGTTATTGCTATTTCGTGAACGCTAGGCCCTTGTTCTTGTTTTTTTGCACACGCTAGGCCCTTGCTCTTGCTATTTTGCACTCACTAGGCCCTTGTTCTTGCAATTTTGCACACGCTAGGCCCTTGTTGTTCTTATTTTGCACACGCTAGGCCCTTGTTCTTTTTATTTTGCACACGCTATGTCCTTGTTCTTGCTATTTTGTACATCCTATTTCCCTGTTCTTTTTATTTTGCACACGCTAGGCCCTTGTTCTTGCAATTTTGCACATACTAGACCCTTGTTCTTTTTATTTTGCACACGCTAGGCCCTTGTTCTTGCTATTTCGCGAACGCTAGGCCCTTGTTCTTGATTTTGTGCACACGCTAGGCTTTTGCTCTTGCTATTTTGCACTCGCTACGCCCTTGTTCTTGCAATTTTGCACACGCTAGGCCCTTGTTCTTGCAATTTTGCACACGCTAGTTCCTTGTTCTTTTTATTTTGCAAACGCTAGGCCCTTGTTCTTTTTATTTTCCACACGCTAGGCCCTTGTTCTTGCTATTTTGCACACGCTATGCCCTTGTTCTTTTTATTTTGCACACGCTAGGCCCTTGTTCTTGCAATTTTGCACATGCTAGACCCTTGTTCTTTTTATTTTGCACACGCTAGGCCCTTGTTCTTGCTATTTCGCGAACGCTAGGCCCTTGTTCTTGCAATTGTGCACACGCTAGGCCCTTGCTCTTGCTATTTTGCACTCGCTAGGCCCTTGTTCTTGCAATTTTGCACACGCTAGGCCCTTGTTCTTTCAATTTTGCACACGCTAGGCCCTTGTTCTTATTATTTTGCACACACTAGGCCCTTGTTCTTTTTACTTTGCACACGCTAGGCCCTTGTTGTTGCTATTTTGCACTCGCTATGCCCTTGTTCTTTTTATTTTGCACACGCTAGGCCCTTGTTCTTGCAATTTTGCACATGCTAGACCCTCGTTCTTTTTATATTGCACACGCTAGGCCCTTGCTCTTGCTATTTCGCGAACGCTAGGCCCTTCTTCTTGATTTTTTGCACACGCTAGGCCCTTGTTCTTGCAATTTTGCACACGCTAGGCCCTTGTTCTTGCAATTTTGCACACGCTAGGCCCTTGTTCTTTTTATTTTGCACACGCTAGGCCCTTGTACTTTTTATTTTGCACACGCTATGCCCTTGTTCTTTTTATTTTGCACACGCTATGCCCTTGTTCTTTTTATTTTGCACACGCTAGGCCCTTGTACTTTTTATTTTGAACACGCTATGCCCTTGTTCTTTTTATTTTGCACACGCTAGGCCCTTGTTCTTTTTATTTTGCACACGCTAGGCCCTTGTACTTTTTATTTTGCACACGCTATGCCCTTGTTCTTTTTATTTTGCACACGCTATGCCCTTGTTCTTTTTATTTTGCACACGCTAGGCCCTTGTACTTTTTATTTTGAACACGCTATGCCCTTGTTCTTTTTATTTTGCACAAGCTCCTGGACCACGCAAGCTCTTGGACCAGGCACGCTCCTGGACCAGGCAAGCTTCTGGACCAAGCAAGATCCTGGACCAAGCAAGCTCTTGGACCAGGCAAGCTCCTGGTCCAGGCAAGCTCCTGGACCAGGCAAGCTCCTGGACCCGGCAAGCTCCTGGACCAGGCAAGCTCCTGGACCACACAAGCTCTTAGACCAGGCACGCTCCTGGTCCAGGCAAGCTCTTGGACCAGGCAGGCTTCTAGACCAAGCAAGCTCCTTGATGAG